TATATCATTAATTTACTACAACTTTGCTGCTAGTTCAGGCACACATTTATTTTCCTGTTGGTTCTTTGCAATGTTAATACAATATTTTGTACGTTAATTCTTTATGGGTCATTACTTTGTGCTTTTAAAGAAAAGTATTTATTGTCACACACAAAAAAAAGTTGCCGATAATGAAGAATTGCTTTAGCATCGAATCGCAGCCCCTCTGAATCGCAATCGAAACGAATCGTGACGTACACGTACCTAGAGATTCCTACCCCCTTCGGTCATCTTTAAAATACAAATTAAGATGTTTTAGAAGGAATCCGAGAGGTTTCTGAAAGGCAGTAAAGACATCGTTAAAATAGTCCATGTGACTTCAGTGGTTCAACCTAGCACACACGCATGTGTTGTGGTGCTCACATGTCTAGCGTCGTCCAATAGTAAGCCTATGTTCTGACGTAGAACCCGGACGTGTTCCTTATACAGTTTATTGAAAAGTAAAGTGGTTATTTTTATGAGGGGTTCGCACGAAAAGTGTTTTCTTCGCTTTATAACATTAAGGTTGAACCACTGGAGTCACATGAATTGTTTTAACAATGTCTTTACTACGTTTCTGGGCCTCCAAAGTTGCAATTACATTGGTGCCTATGGATCTACGGATTTCCTCTCGGATTTCAATAAAAATAACTTAATTTGTGTACGTCAGTTTCACTCTTCACGCGCGAATTAACACAAAATGGTCTAGTTTGACGCTTGACCACTTTGTGTTAATTTGCGCGTCAAGAGTGACACTGACGCGCGTAAAAACAAAAGTTTGAAGCGAAATTTATGGGCATGAGAATCGAAATCCGTTGGCGGCGATTTTTTTATGTCGACCGAGCATTCATCGAGAGAGTCACCGCTCTGTATTTGCTTTGGAGAGCAGAACAGCGGCGTGGGGATCATCGTCGTCATATTTGTGTCCACCGGATCCTTCGGAGGCGAACCGTTTGGCGAGTTTCACCATTTGCTCGCTCCAGGAGCTGCGCTGGATGACGGCCGCTGTCAGCGTTACTTCCGCCTATCCCGCGCCCAGTTTGATGACATGTTGTCCCGCATCGGAGCGAGGTTCGCCCTCATCCATCTAATCTGTCATTTATTTTTGTTTTGATGATAAATAGAGCCAGCCTCCAGTTATTAACCTGTCCTGTGATTTTTTTTCTCTCTCACGTCCAGACACGAACGTATGCAAATGTATGTTGATTGTCTTTACATCATAATAATATTTCATCTAATCTAGATATGTAATAATAAATAACATTCAATACAAAATGAACATGTCTCGTATATTGAAATAAAGTTGAGTAATAAAATATTTGCTTTGTTGTGCATTAGAACCACACGCATTTAGTCATAATACAAAATAATGTATTGAAGCATCCAGATCCTTCAACACGTGAGCAAGCAGCAGGCTCCTGATTGGTTAACTTAACATGGCGCGAATTTGACACCAAAGTTCAGATTTTTCAACTCGGGCGGCAGACCAGAATTCACGTCAAACGCGTGAATGCACAAATAGCACTAACTAAATCATTCACACTTAAAGCGGCAGACACTCAATTCGTGCCATTCGCGCCATTCATTCACGCAAAATTGACACACAAATGAGGCGTATTTGCGTCTACCACGCCGCACTCTACGCCTCATTCGCGCCGCAGGTATTTTTTATGCAGGTAACGTGTCTTTGCATTGACTTAACATTGAAATTATTTGCGCCTGACGCATTATTCGAGTCTGGTGTGAACGCACAATTACGGGTTTCGAACAACATGAGGGTGAGTAATTAATGACAGAAATTTAATTTTTGGGTGAACTATCCTTTTAATGTAAAGATTTTCTCCAACCAAGGGAATTTGGGCTTCTTGCCACTGACACCGTTGGCTTGCTTGATTGGGGACAGTTATTAATTATATTTATTTTCCACTTGATTAATCATTGTAGACTTTTAGACTTACCTAAAAAACAAAGCAATGTTTATTTCCTTAGTTCTTTTATGCTTGCATTTTTTCAGTGCAGATACACTCCCCAATCATTCTAGAATGATTAATTATTTGCCAAAATATCTTTTCAAGTCATCACATTGCAATAGATATTGTAGAAAAACAAAATATGTCAGTTTTTCCAATGAAGCCCTAGTAAAAACCACTCAGAACACCTTAGCAATTATGTATCAATCTAGAAAACCCTTGCGACTGCATAACGATATGTTGAACCAATCAGGACATCTTAGCAACCACATAGCCCTGACGACTGCATAGCAACATTGTTCAATTTTGCACAAGAATGCAACACCAGTTTCTGTTTTCGATGTAAAATTCTGATTAATGTCCAGTTAAAGATCTCCAAACAGACAGATGAATGAAGATTGCACAGAAGTACGGGTGTATCATGTCACACCTGATTTGAGCGTGCGAGTTTACAGTAGCTTTACTAGAATAGAGGGAGAATAGGGGTGCTGGAACGCCCCGGGAACAGGCGAATACTGGGGTTTTGTCAAATTGCTGACACTATGACAGTGCTCGGTTTAATTTTTTTTACATTTTCTAACAACCCAGTGGAAATAGAAAACACATTGTGTTGTTAATCATTACCAGCAAAGGTGTGAAAGACATTCCAGAGCTCAGGAATGCATTACATGGAAACGATGAACTTAAAATAGATTAATAGACATTAAAGGAGTAGTTCGCTTTAAAAAAAAAAAAAAACTTTTGCTGATTATTTACTCACTCCCATTGTCATCCTTTCTTCAGTTGGAAAAGAAATTAAGGTTTTTGATGAAACTAATATAATGGAAAATATAATATAATTTCTCTATATAATGCACTTCAATGGGAACCAAACGGTTCAAGGTACAAAAGACAGTTTCAATGCAAACTGCAAACTCTTCAAAGGGCTTTAAATGATTCCAGACGATGAATAAGGGTCTTATCAAGCGAAACGATCGCTCATTTAATAAATAAATAACAAAGTTTATGTTTTATAAGCACGAATGCTCGCCTTGCTCTGTTCTGTGATGCGCGTTCGTGACTCTCCTGTTCGAACTCCATCTTTTCCAGAGTCAACTTGTTCATTTCGTTCGTTGAATGAACCAAATGACACGAAAAAAGATTCGTTCATTTTGATAAACGAGTTCGAACATGAGAGTCACGAACGCGCATCACAGAACAGAGCAAGACTTATAAAAGCTTATAAAACTTAAACTTTGTTATTTTATTTTTTTAAATGAGCGATCGTTTCGCTTGATTAGAACCTTATTCATCGTCTGGAATGAAGCCCTTTGAACAAGTTTGCAGTTTGTACTGAAAGATTCTTTTGGACCTTGAACCGTTTGGTTCCCATTGAAGTCCATTATATAGAGAAAAATCCTGGAATTTTTTCATCAAAAACCTTAATTTCTTTTCGACTGAAGAAAGAAATACATGGACATCTTGGATGACATGGGTTCAATTAATGTAGTTATGACATGAACTACTCCTTTATGCGTCTGAAGGCCTGAACAGACAAAAAGAGCAGCGTGGCAAAGTAGATCAGGACCATATGACCCTGGCAGGCTGCCATAGGACAGGAGTGGTGTCAGATCATTGGGTTTCAGGGACAAAATCAGATCTGAGAAGTGTTTGTGCATGCAGAAATATGATAAATAAACACGTCCAGGTCCTATTTAAGCCCAAAAACAAACAAAAAATTATACAAGAAATGCGTGTCATTTAGAAAATGTGGATCAACATCTTGGTAACCAAAAAGTTTTGGTCACCATTGACTTCCATTGTAAATACATTTTTCAAAATATCTTCTTAAAGTCATACAGGTTTGGAACGACATGAGGGCGAGTAAAAGATGAGAGAGTTTTCATTATTAAGTGAAATATCCCTTTAAATTCTCGTTATTAAATAGTCCCATCTCTGCTTTTGTCTTTAATTTGATTCTATTTACGTTTTAGGCTCCGATATGACCCAGACATGTTCTTCACCCATGAGGAATTTTTGAAAGGAATGCTGTTCTAATGAGCTTTGCTTTGCTATGCCAACATACTTGTCTATATACCATCCGCGTTTCAGGTCTCTGTCCCTCATTGGGCCACAATGTCAACAATATTTCTAAAAATACTTCCCTTTTTCAACCCCCAAACAAATGTTCTGCAATGAGCCCTCCTGTTGCCCAACTGTTGGCAGACCTTTGACCCCAGACTTACAGAGAGGAGCTTTCCTGCTCTCCCAAAACTTCACAATCATGTTTCTGACTGCTCACACAAACATTAATTGAGTGTTTTCCTTAAAGAAGTAGTTCACTTTTAAAAAAAACTTTTGCTGATAATTTACTCACCCCCGTGTCATCCAACATGTCCATGTCTTTCTTTCTTCAATCGAAAAGAAATTAAGGTTTTTGATGAAAACATTCCAGGATTTTTTGCATATAATGGACTTCAATGGGAACCAAACGGTTCAAGGTCCAAATGAGAGTTTCAGTGCAGCTTCAAAGGGCTTTAAACGACACCAGACGGTGAATAAGGGTCTTATCAAGCGAAACGATCGGTCATTTAAAAAATAAATAAAAAAGTTTAAGTTTTATAAGCACAAATGCTCGCCTTGCTCTGTTCTGTGATGAGCGTTCGTGACTCTCCTGTTCGAACTCGTTTCTCAAAATGAACAAATCTTTTTTCGAGTCGTGACTCGAAGGGTCCTAGATAAGACCCTTATTCATCATGTGGTGTCATTTAAAGCCCTTCGAAGCTGCTCTGAAACTCTCATTTGGACCTTGAACAGTTTGGTTCCCAATGAAGTCCATTATATGCAAAAAATCCTGGAATGTTTTCATCAAAAACCTTAATTTTTTTTCGACTGAAGAAAGAAAGACGTGCACATCTTGGATGACATGGGGGTGAGTAAATTATCAGCAAAAGTTTTTTTAAAAGTGAACTACTCCTTTAAAATCACAAATCGCAAACCCAGCTACTGTTATGTCAGCAAGATACTGCTTACCCGTATCGGCTCGGTGGAGAATCTGATTTTCCTTCTTGGAGACGGTTCCTCATCCTCAGACAAACCGGGAGCATCATCATACTCCCGATAGACCTCATCTTCATCCTCATCCTGCTGGTCCTGAACCGATTCCCCTTCCTTATCATCCAAAAACGCAGCATTCTCAAAACTATAAAACACCGGAGAAGATTTCCCACATTCGTCCGGATCTTCCTGCTCGCTCTCCTCGTCGTCATCTTCATAACAGCTATTCCTCTTTTGTATGATCTCCTCCTCCTCCTCCTCCTCCTCCTCTTCTTCTTCTCGATTCGGTTCCTCATTCTCCAGCTCTGATGATACACATACATCCTTCTCCAGCCGTTTGTCCTCAGCATGGTTTTGAGGTGATGACACCTTCAGATCTGCTTTTGGAGACTCCCTTTGTAGCTTCATCTCTGACATGGCATCCTCCAAAAAGTCTTCGTCGTTCTCCTCGCTTTCTGAAGACTCGTTCTGGACCACTACCAGCTCGGCCCGCACCACTCCCGCACCAGTCGGGTCCAGGCATTGTGTGGCGGTCGGCTCACGAGACGGACTGGGAATTATGTGGTTCTCACTTTTTGGTTCCTCAGGACTCCAAGGCCGTTTATAGAGGCCGGAGTCACTTCCAGAAGACAGAGATCGTTTAAATGGGCCGTGAGCCGTGGGCGAAAGAGGCTCGCCGGTGCTCCTGCCGGTCGGTTTGTATGAAACCGGGCTGATGGACTTGAACGGAGGGCTACCGGCTACTGGTTCTGTTTTAAGCGGGAATGATTTGGGTGATGCGTCAGGGTTTGGGGATGTGGGTTCGTGTACTTGATCAGTAACTGTGGAAGTGGGTTTCTGGGATCTCCCTCGTAGCGACTGCTCAGAGGCGCTGCTCAGTTTCTCTGGGCTTTTAGCGGAAACTTCATTATCACCGTCCACAATGAAGTTCTCCAACCGCCTGGAAATAGGTCCCGCATTCAGCGATAGCCTATTGACCTGTTTCGAGTCCTCGACGTCCTTCTTTTCCTCTGCGGCGCTACTCCCAGGTGACGTTGGGCTTTTGCTGACGCTACTGTTGCTGTTGTTTTCAGAAGATCCGAAGGACCTCCGGGTGACTGAGGTCCTTCTCTCCGCGACGGGCTGCTCTTTTATCCCTCTTTCAAAGAGCTTCCTGGTCACTGAAAATTTCTGCGCCAGTGCGACTTTATCTATCTCGCCTTCTTCTCCCTTTGGAGTTCTGTCTGTGTTTTGCGGCTCTTGGTTGTTGGCAGTGCTGAGGGAGGTTTTGCTGGTGCTGACTGGGAACTTGGACACTGGGGACACGGGAGATGATGCATCTGCTTTATTCTCCTGACTCTCAAGCGATTGCTGGCCATCCATTTGCAAGAAAATGTTCTTGATTTTGTTTATCCGGTTGCCAAACGGCCTCCCCCTGGTGTCCTCTCGGGGGTCGCTGGCTCCATTAGCATAAGATTTGGCCTCGCTGTCGGATTTGGTCCCATCAAAAGTGCACTTAATGGCGTGGAAGTCCGACTTGTAAGCATTTCTATGCGGGGACGCGCTCCGCAGGGTGCGTTCACCCTTGATCATTTTCAATGACTTTAAAAACGTACTTTAAAACTGTATTTTTAGGTCCGTGGTCCTGTAATCCTCAATTGGAGAGTGGAAATTAGCCCTTCACAGTCACTCTGATACATTGTCTCGAATCCCCGCGCACATCTGAAAAGAAAAGAAAAGAAACAATAACAATCAAAAGATTTAGCATTTTAACGCGATTTGAAAGCACGCGCACGTTAAACGTGTGTTATTTGGGCGCTCTTTTGTTATCAGATCAAATCTCCACGACACTCGTCCGACTGATCAAAGAAACTTTTCCAACTGAGATCAAAAGTTTTCAACTGTGATTTGCTGGCAGATCCATTGGGCTTCATTGAATCAATGCTTAATGATCTGACAGCGACTCGGAATACCTATATATTAGTCAAAGAGTCGAATCTAGATTATATAATGTTCTTCAAATGATCGAGAACTAAGTTACCGCGATTAGTGTTAAACCTCACCACCAATCACCACTAACGTTAAAGCTGACTCGCCGTGGAACAATAGCTCAGCATTAGTTCCAACAAATGATCAAAATAAAGTTTCGGAAATCGAGTTTCAAACAATTACAGCTTCTGCAACACTCAAGTCATCTGCTTCACTTACCTTCACGGATATCTCACTGTCTACGGGCGCCGGTTCTTCTGCTGTGTGTAATTTAGATCCCCAGATTCCCCAACCATGTCATTTGTTTCACCGCCATGGTTCTCCAACGTAGTGCCATCCGATTCGCGAAGGAATCGTTCGATTGAATCAATTTTTTTAAGTGATTCGATCGAAACGATTCAGAAAGCGTTCGTAAATCAGTCAGTGAGGGAGACCGTTGTTGGGAGTAAAACTTCAATGACGCTAACAGTTTACACACTTTTCGAGCAAGTAGGAAAATAACTAGGCTATCTGTAAAATATAACAAACAACCAGGGTCTCAAACAGAAGGATACGAAATGATATTCAGGGCAGACATAGGCTTTTTTTTTTTTTTTTTTTTGAGAAGGACGTGTAATGGGATATCGTAATGCACCTAGGTTTTTGTACGTTTAAACATTATTACATTAAACATTTGTTATTGTTACATTGTGTACGTTTAATGTTAAAATGTACGTTTGGGGGATTTTAACTTTAACCAAATTATTGTTTAAAGAACTTCAGGGAACACTATTGAACGGAATGACTGGTAAATCGTTGGATTAGAACCGGCTCGCGGAAATGTCCAGACACAACGAATCGATTCGCCAAATGACTCGAACTCCCTAAGCGTCTCTCTTCCTATTGAACTCCACTTCACAGACCTGTCGCACCGCTGCGCGCTCCCGACGCTACACGAGCACATTCCAGGGCTGCTAATAATCCCAACCCCCTTCCCAACTGCGAGTTTGCTAATTCTACTATGGCGAAGGTATATGGGTAATAAATATTAATTAGCGCACGGTGACGAGACTTTTAGAAACCTGCGTGGAGCGTCCAGTTTTGGGCACTTGAACAAGATCATCGATTTTTTTTATTTTATTTTTTTTTTACCAATTTTATCTTTTAAATTTTATGTCAACCTACCTTATCCTTCTTCCTTCTTCAAAATATAGAAGAGTCCTCTTCGAAATATAGGCTACAAGAGTGATTGTGAAAATAATGTTTAAAGTTGATGCTTTTAAAGTTCGTTAGATAAGTTTTACTTATGGTTTTCCATCTTAATCCAGTTCAAACTAAAGTAATAATGAAACTGGTTATGAGAGATAGAAAATAATCCATTCTTTACCACTGGTCCATCCTGTTGTTTTTTTAATAAAATCAGCACTAATTGGGGTAAAAAAAACCCACTAATAATTCAGTGACAATTAAGGTGTCAATATTGTAAAATAATGCAATATAAAACATATATATATCAATAATGTAGTATAAAAAGTAAACAAAATGCCATTCTGTCCCTAACAATGGACATTTTTGTTCTCCTATTTCATTTATTTTGTTAAATAAATGGTTAAATTTACCAGAATATTTTTCAAATTTTTTACATCACCCTATAAAAATATATGTAATAGGAAAAAAAGAAAAAGACTATAGAAAAAAATATTTTAAAAACTGAGTTTGATTTCCTTCGATTTTTCAATTTAGATTATTTTCATTTTATATCCATGTAATTAATTTAGGTATATGTATTATTTTTTGTTTTGTTGAAAATATGCTACAGAGTGTTCAATATTAGAGCTGAACTGAAAACCCAAAACTGATCGATTACCACTGATCTGATTCTGAATATGTCCACCTTAATGCTTATTAGATTGATTTTAGTCTTGAATATTATATTACACAAGTTCATAGGTCGGAGCAGAGTTCAAATCACAGTGTGAATTCTTGCTGCTGTCACAATGATTCAATTATGTCAACTACATGAACATTAATCTCAATTAAAGAAACATTTGGTCAGCAGTCTCTCAATGCAGTGCATATGTGAGTGTGTCCGGGTGATGTGGCAGTCTCATGTGCTCTGTTCACAGATGTCTGAAGATATTTCCGTTTTCTGTCTGAGAGTGTGTGTGTGTGTGTGTGTGTCACTGATGCGCCTGCTTCAGTCAGAGGGCCGGGGCAATAAAAAGATTGAGATGATGTTGGAGTATGAGAAACATACAGTACATAATGGCTATGGGAACTAAAATTAGGAAAACAATTTTATGGGCAAGTCATTATTAGTGTTTTACTATGAAGCATAACAGATGCTTTTGATGTCTATAGTGTGTGTGAGTCAATTAAACATCTTAGAAAATACCAATGAAAAACTACAGGGATAATAGAAAAATGGAAAGTTAACTGAAAGCTGCATAGCATATGATGGAAAATACAATTATTATAAAATTGTTATATGCATAAACACTTAATTCAAGGTAATGATCATGAAGAATTTTCTTACACAAAACAGTTTTTTAACTATAACTCATTACATAGTAATAGTGTTTTCTTCATGTCTTTTAGCATTTGTCACAGTCCTCCGTCTGCACCAGTCTGTCTTGTCTTCAGCACTACACTTCCCAGGATCCTCTCGTCACCCTATCCCGTGTTCACTCCCTCATCAGCCACCTGTTCCTCGTCATCGTCATCTGTTTCACCTGTTCTCACCCCATTATGTTTGATTATTCTGTGTATTTAGTTCCCTCTGTTTTACTCTATGGTTGTCGGTCGTTGTTGTATGTTACCCGGAGTTTCCCTGTCCTCCTACCTGTATGTTTGATTAAAATGAGTATCTTCACGTTCATCTGGACTCCTCCTATTCCTTCTGCCTGCACTCCTGCACTCCTGCACTCCACCATCTCACACCGTGACAGATCGACCGACCACCAAAAAGCAACATGGACGCCGGGAGCTTCCAGGGGATTCTACACCCGATTCGCCGGCCCCGTTTGATGCTCGTTCCCCGAAAGCCTGCGCTTACCGTCAGTCTTGTCGAGCCCGAGCTTTCCCCGCTGGTTCCGTCCAGTCTTCCTGAGCATGAACTCCTGTTTCGGCGCCCCCGCTTGATGCTTGTTCCCAGAAAGCCTGCGCTCACCGTCAGCCCTGCCGAGCCCGAGCTCTTCCCCGCTGGTTCCGTCCAGATCTCCAGAGATTGAATGCTCTTCCCCGCTGGTTCCGTCCAGCTCTCCAGAGATTGAATGCTCTTCACCGCTGGTTCCGTCCAGTTCACCAGAGATTGAATGCTCTTCACCGCTGGTCCCGTCCAGCTCTCCAGAGTCTGAATGCTCTTCGCCGCTGGTTCCGTCCAGCTCTCCAGAGATTGAATGCTCTTCACCGCTGGTTCCGTCCAGCTCTCCCGAGACTGAGCGCTCTTCCCCGCTGGTTCCGTCCAGTTCACCAGAGATTGAATGCTCTTCACCGCTGGTCCCGTCCAGCTCTCCAGAGACTGAATGCTCTTCACCGCTGGTTCCGTCCGGCTCTCCCGAGACTGAGCGCTCTTCCCCGCTGGTTCCGTCCAGTTCACCAGAGATTGAATGCTCTTCGCCGCTGGTCCCGTCCAGATCTCCAGAGATTGAATGCTCTTCCCCGCTGGTTCCGTCCAGCTCTCCAGAGATTGAATGCTCTTCACCGCTGGTTCCGTCCAGTTCACCAGAGATTGAATGCTCTTCGCCGCTGGTCCCGTCCAGCTCTCCAGAGTCTGAATGCTCTTCGCCGCTGGTTCCGTCCAGCTCTCCAGAGATTGAATGCTCTTCACCGCTGGTTCCGTCCAGCTCTCCCGAGACTGAGCGCTCTTCCCCGCTGGTTCCGTCCAGTTCACCAGAGATTGAATGCTCTTCACCGCTGGTCCCGTCCAGCTCTCCAGAGACTGAATGCTCTTCACCGCTGGTTCCGTCCGGCTCTCCCGAGACTGAGCGCTCTTCCCCGCTGGTTCCGTCCAGTTCACCAGAGATTGAATGCTCTTCACCGCTGGTCCCGTCCAGCTCTCCAGAGTCTGAATGCTCTTCGCCGCTGGTTCCGTCCAGCTCTCCAGAGATTGAATGCTCTTCACTGCTGGTTCCGTCCAGCTCTCCAGAGATTGAATGCTCTTCACCGCTGGTTCCGTCCAGCTCTCCAGAGACTGAATGTTCTTCACCGCTGGTCCCGTCCAGCTCTCCAGAGTCTGAATGCTCTTCGCCGCTGGTCCCGTCCAGCTCTCCAGAGATTGAATGCTCTTCACCGCTGGTCCCGTCCAGCCCTCCAGAGACTGAATGCTCTTCACTGCTGGTTCCGTCCAGCTCACCAGAGAATGCATGCTCTTCACTGCTGGTCCTGTCCAGCTCTCTAGAGACTGAATGCTCTTCACTGCTGGTTCCGTCCAGTTCACCAGAGAATGCATGCTCTTCACTGCTGGTCCTGTCCAGCTCTCTAGAGACTGAATGCTCTTCACTGCTGGTTCCGTCCAGTTCACCAGAGAATGAATGCTCTTCAGTGCTGGTCCTGTCCAGCCCTCTAGAGACTGTACGCTCTTCACTGCTGGTTCCGTCCAGCCCTCTAGAGACTGTATGCTCTTCACTGCTGGTACCGTCCAGCCCTCCAGAGACAGTATGCTCTTCACTGCTGGTACCGTCCAGTCCTCCAGAGACCGAATGCTCGGCACTGCTGGTTCCGTCCAGTCTCTCTGAGCCCGAGCTCTCTCCGTCGCCGGGCCCTACCAGCCCAGCCCCAGAGACCGTCCAGCCAGCGCCAGAGACCGTCCAGCCTGTGCCGGAGACCGTGCAGCCTGCTTCGCCCTGGCCACGCCCTCAGCCTGCTCCGCCCTGGCCACGCCCTCAGCCTGCTCCGCCCTGGTCTCGCCCTCAGCCTGCTCCGCCCTGGTCTCGCCCTCAGCCTGCTCCGCCCTGGCCACGCCCTCAGCCTGCTCCGCCCTGGCCACGCCCTCAGCCTGCTCCGCCCTGGCCACGCCCTCAGCCGGCTCCGCCCTGGTCTCGCCCTCAGCCTGCTCCGCCCTGGCCACGCCCTCAGCCTGCTCCGCCCTGGCCACGCCCTCAGCCTGCTCCGCCCTGGCCACGCCCCTCAGGCCCCAGTTCGTCCCCCCTCCTTCCTCTGTTCAGCGGCGTGAGGTCACGCCTCCCGGGAGGGGGGAGTTCTGTCACAGTCCTCCGTCTGCACCAGTCTGTCTTGTCTTCAGCACTACACTTCCCAGGATCCTCTCGTCACCCTATCCCGTGTTCACTCCCTCATCAGCCACCTGTTCCTCGTCATCGTCATCTGTTTCACCTGTTCTCACCCCATTATGTTTGATTATTCTG